GAGGAGCGCCGGGGGCCGGAAGGGCCTTCCCGTCCGCGGGGGGAGGCGTTTTACCAGACGTAAATACTGCTTCCCCCCTAGTGTTTTCCTTTAAAAAGGAAAAAAAGACGAAACATGATCATCTAGTGTATGCTTCCCTCTCCTTCGTGAGCTGTATCGGGCTTGGGAGTTCGCAAAATAAATAAAAGCACCTGAAATCAAACTCGAGGGGGAGGGGCCTGAACGTTTTTTTAAACAATATATGTAGGTTTTGAAAGTGCCGTAAGTGTCACAGGGGGTGGAAGAGGGAGACTTCACGCGAGCTGGAGTAGAAGTTTTTAAAAATCAAGGCTCTAAAGCTGCGCGTTGGCTTAGTTTGTTCTGAGGGCTTCGCTGGAGAGCCGCGCGCTGTTCAGGTGGAGTTGTCTTCACCTGGATCCGAATCCTGTGCTGTGCAGAGAATGACAGGCAGAATTGTTTCCTGCTCCTAAATGGCCACGTTGCCCTTCGGAGGGAAAACTATTTCTGTGCTCTTGCTGTTATGAAGGCATTTGAGGTAACTGCTAGCTACCGTTGGCGTTCAGCCAACCTGATAAACCTTTCATCAGGTAAGAAAAGGAAAATAAGCACCCAGGAAAACTGGTCCTTGAAATCCTGGAGCCAGGAACTGCATCTGTATTTCTTTTCTTAAGATTTGCTCTGCTTATTGAGACTGCAAGCATTATAAAATACAGAACTGAGATAATACACGTGTCGTTGAGAGGAAAACAGCTTGAAAAGATAAACGTAAGTGTACCTATTGTACCCAAACTTATTACAATATTCAGAAGATTCAAGAAAATGCATGCATAGCGTAAAAGTGCATTTCCATTGAAGCAGTTCCTTAGCTGTTTTCCTTAAAATTTTAATGGCTGTGGAGATATAAAGCAAAAAGTTTGTCTTCACCTGTCTTAATTAAATGACTGTTTAAAATGTCCAACTGTTATTGAGAACGTTTTTACTGCTAAAAGTTTGCTGAGTTATTTCACGCCTAAATATGCCTTCTACGTATCTTTTTTTTAACCATGGAATCAGTGGTGCAAATACATACATGACGTAGAATTTTCATGTAACATTTCCTCTTTTACCATTTATAGCTCTGTAGAGTTGCATTAGAAACATGTTTCAGGTGTGTCACAGAAGAAACTTCAAGTCTTTCATTAAGCAGGGTGGGACGGCATTAGTCAGAGGTTGAAATGCGTGTGTCACACTTGTATGATTTAATGTGCTCCATTGGCTTGCAAAGATGGAGTACCACGCTCAATTGCT